AAAAAAAGACTGATGACGGAGGTTACAGTTCTGACACCAAGAAGAAGTGTTGGTCCTTAGAGCTGTAAAACAATGAGATGGGTTGCCTTTGAGGTCATGCGTTCACTGACATGGGAGCTGCAGGGGACTCTGGTTGCTTATTAGTGTTGCTGGAGAAGGAGTTTGTGCATCAGAGAAAAGGTATACATAAATGACCTTTCAGATTTTTCTAATTTCGCAAGTCAGTGATTTCACAATTTGTCTCTGAACTCTCTTTCTAATCTTCTACCTTACTAGTTCCTCATATGAACCCTCTGCCCTAGACATACAAGCATAATGGTACACACTCACCAAGTGTTAGGCTGTCTCACCATTTCCCATTTTTTGCCATTTTCTCCACATTGAATGTCATTTTCTTAACAAAATAAGACAAATAGTTTTGTTTTTTTAATGTTTATTTTTGAGAGGGAGAGAGTGCAAGCAGGGTAGGGGAAGAGAGAGAGGGGAACAGGGGATCTGAAGCAGGCTCTGTGCTAACACCAGGCAGCCCAATGCAGGGCTGGAACTCATGAACCACGAGATCACGACCAGAGCTGAAGTCTGACGCTCAGCCAACTGAGCCACCCAGGTGCCCCTTTCAGGTTTTTTTTCCTTTCTGACTTTTTATTGAAATTCCAATTAGTTAACATAAAGTGTAATATTAGTTTCAGGAGAAGAATTGAGTGATTCATCACCTACATACAACACCCATTGCTCATCACAAGTGCCCTCCCTAAGGCAAGCATTTTAAAAGCCAAATTATGGAAAGAGTCCAAATGTCCAACAAATGATGAATGGATAAAGAAGATGTTGTGTGTACACATACACACAAATGGAATACTACTTGGCAATGAGAAAAAATGAAATCTTGCCATTTGCAACAACGTGGATGGAACTGGAGGGTATTATGCTAAGTGAAATAAGTCAGTGAGAGAAAGACAGATATCATATATTTTCACTCATATGTAGAATTTGAGAAACTTAACAGAAGACTATGGTGGACAGGAAGGAAAAATAAGTTACAGAGAGGAGGCAAACCCATAAGAGATTCTTAAATACAGAGAACAAACTGAGGGCTGATGGGGGGGTGGGGGTCGGGGAAAATGGGTGATGGGCAATGAGGAGGGCACTTGTTGGGATGAGCACTGGGTGTTGTGTGTAAGTGATGAATCATGGCAATCAACTCCCGAAGCCAAGCCTACACCATTTACACTGTATGTTAGCTAACTTGCTGTCATAGACTCTGGGTCTGGAGTTCTTTCTTGTCCAGCAAGAAAGGAGGATGCAGGATTAAAAAGCGAGAGAGGCTGAGGTCTGGGAGAAGACAAGACCCCTGATTAGGGGTCCTTGCTCCATTTTTATCAGGGTCAGAAGGCTTACAAGCATGATGGACATGCACAAAAAGACAATGAAACTGTAAACATTAACTCGTGGGCGTGAGTGAAAGGTGGTTTTGAAAATATGCTGTGTTAGGGGTTTGGGTTAATACAAAACAAAATCCTGGCGCTGAGCAGAAGGTTGTTTACAGCAGACTTGAGGCACCACCTCTGCGTACCTAAACTGGTCTAGGGGGTAAGAAAGACAGAGCAAGCTATCTCAGGGTCAACAAGGCACCTTTCTTCTGCTAATTAGCTCCTCTCTGGGCAACTTCACCCAGAGCAGTATATAGCCCTATTTACCTGTTTACCTAATTTGGTCCCTCCTTCCTGTGAAAGCAGCTTTCTGCTATAGTACAAAGTTGGGGGTCATTTCTGCCCTGAATACTTAATCTTGTTTACCTCATATACCTTTGCCCTATACTGGGGCCTTTGCCCTGCCTTACCTATACCTATTCCCTAATCTTGTTTACCCAAACTTGGGTGTGAACATCCTGTGGATTTCTAATTATTTACGCCTTGTTAACCCACTGGTGCAGACTCGGAATTCCTAAGCTTATTCCCCACAACTTGCCAATAAATCGTTTTTTAAAAAGGGCTGAAGAGAGTACAAGAAAGGTGAATGAAATAGGTTTCAATAAATACCAATCTCCAAATATTCCTCTAGAGAAAAAGGATGGATTAGAGGAACTATACTTTCAAAATGAGAGTCCATTTCAGCTGTGTTGTATTCCTACCTTCCAAATGACTGGAAGTTTTGGTAAATGACAGCCCTTCCACCAGCAGGGACCATGACTTTAGGCATGTAAGATAACATCATTCCATTCCGCAGATGATGCAGTCCTGGTGCCCAGAGAGGTACAGAAACTCATCTCAAGTCACACAATACTTGAAGAAGTTGGCATCTAGAAGTTGGGGCTCCTGCCTGCTAGGACCTGAGCTTATCTCTGCTATGTCATGCTCTGTTTTCCCTAAGTCTCAGGATCTCTGTTTTTCTACCACATTCTAGAGTTAATATATTAGCTATCCTAATTATTGTGTAAAAAAAAAAATCTTTGAGTATTCCCAGGCTGTTGCTCTGGCAAAAGGCGGGTGGTTGAGAAGCTTTTCAGAGTTGATATGGTGCATATGTGGAATGGAGTCCTGGGCTCAGACTCTAAAGACAGGAATCCATGTGATGGTGGATGAATTGGTTGACCTCTCTCTCGATTCCTCATCTGTTTAAAAACGTGCCCAATTCCAAGGGTTTCTGTGAGTCAAATGAGATTTGTTTGTGAAGGTATTTTGTATAAAGAAAAAGGTTTTTTTAAAGTATGGCCCAGAGAGTCTTGAGGGTCCCCCATACCTTTTCGGGAGGTTTACAAAATTAAAACTATTTTCATGAATATAAAAAAATAATAAAAATAAAAGTATAAATCTTATTAAAAGTTGCAGCACATATGGTGTATTAAAGCTTAATCTCTATGCATAATACAATAAGGACTTGCTTTTTTTCCTAGCCATGTTAGGCTTGATCCTGAAATATTTAAATGGATATAAATGAAGGCTGAAACAACAAACCCTCACCCTCCTGCCCATACATACTCATTTAGAAAGGACTAAGTAAGTCTGTGTGTACTAACTTCTGTAAGAAGTCGTAAAAATATCTCTCATCTTTTAGATTTTTATTTTACAGTATATTTCTAAAAATGTTTTAATTCAACTTTAAATAAAATAAATACAAGAGTATCTTTATACAGGGGTTCATCAAAAATATATGTTAGTACTTCCTTTCAAGGGAAGGTTTCTAGGGGAAAGAAGGCAAGAAAATGGTAGCTGTTGGCCATTAACTGGTTCAATAGTTACATATATTTTGGTCAGAAGCCTTTATTTAAACCAAAGCTTAGAAAACAGACTATGAAAATTTGGAGCTGCTTTAATTGAGGAGGTGATTGGAGAAAACCCTGCCTCAAAGACTTACAGGGTCACAAGAGTACTTACTCTCTGAAGCTATGCCATTCAAGGGGACAGCACCTTCTCATCCTGAGAACCAAGACCATTTTCTTGGACCAAAGGCAGTGGGAGCTTTCTCTCATGAGATCTTCACAAGGGCAAATGTGAAGTTTTGTATGTTCATTTGAGCTAAAAAAGCATTTGGAACAGGCTCTGGCTTATAACATGATTTTCTGATATGACTTGAGAAGTTACACTACCTTCTCCAAGTGGGCTTAAAAACGCCCCAAATTGGGATTGCATTGAATGTGTAGATAGCTTTGGGTAGTATTGACACTTTAACAATATTTATTCTTCCAATCCATAAGCACGGAATGTTTTTTCATTTCTTTATAAAGAGAAACATATACATATGTTTTCACTCTTATGTGGATCCTGAGAAACTTACCAGAAGACCATGGGGGAGGGGAAGGAAAAAAAAAAGAAAGGTTAGAGAGGGAGGGAGCCAAAACATAAGAAACTCTTAAAAACTGAGAACAAACTGAGAGTTGATGGGGGGTGGGAGGGAGGGGAGGGTGGGTGATGGGTATTGAGGAGGGCACCTGTTGGGATGAGCACTGGGTATTGTATGGAAACCAATTTGACAATAAATTTCATATTTAAAAAAACCCAAATTATGCCCTGACAACTTGATTTCCTAGCAGCTTATATAAATCTATCTTTTCCTTTTTTTCCAATTTTTTATTACACAGAACCTGAGTTACTCCTGGGGGGAAAGTATTAGTCCTAAAATATGCACTTTCCTATCAGAAGTCATAAAATAAACCACTTATCTTTTCCTTTTTCCATAAAACTCTGAGGGAAAAACTTTTAGAAAATGTATACTGTAAATGAATAATTCTACTGAGCATAAATAATATAAAATTAAACAATGCTTAGGCAGAAATATGTTGTTCTGAGATCATTGTCAGGTTACAATTTCTTCTGTTATTTCAGAGTGAAAAAGATGAGTTGCTATGGTTTCCTGTCCTGTTCAAACTGGGTTTTGTTTGGCCACACTAATATTTGTACAGTTATTTTTCCATTACTCAGGAAACGCCACAAACACTCAGTGATAATTGCACAAGCTTTTTTTAAAAAGCATCCATCTCCCCTGACAGGTTTTATGAATTCACATATGTTCTCAGAAAATTTTTATGATGCATTAATAAAATGCTTGACAAAGCACATGTTTTCAGTATAATTATTTACTTAAATGCTCCTTTTCTACACCCCCTCATTTGCTTACCTAGATGATTCATTAAAGATAATTTAGATATGTACATGTTAAAATCAAAAACAAATGGAGACCAGCCTTGAAAATTCTCTGAGCAGACAAAACCAATTTAGTTATGACTAAATTTATTTAATTTAGTTATGGCTTAATCTACTTATTTTCCAAGACTAACTTGACCTGGGTCATTTCTTGCTTATGAACTGTTTCCAAAGGTTGATATGAGATCACCACTGACCAATTACCTGTCATTTTGGAAAATTCTAATACTGTAACCCATCACTGTAAAGAATAAACAGTCTGCTTTCTCACAATATAAGCTGCTTTATAACAACATATCCCTGAGCCTCATTCCATGTTCTTGTTTGAGGGCCCCTGGTTTGCAAACCGTCTCATTTACTAATTATTATTTCAATTGTTAAATGGATTTACTTCTGTTATTTCTGAACTTTTGAGATCTCATGGATCCAAAGAAGATCCCCCAAAGACTCTGAGGCTGGTGACGAAACAGATGCCGGTAACCACAGAGCTCACTGAGCTCCCTGCTTTCTCCCCAACCCTGGAGACTGAGGGTAAGTGTCTCTTGGATCTGAGATCCACTCGCTCCATGTTTTTAGCTGTCTAACATGCATGTGCATGTTTGCTTTCTGTTTTTGTTTGTTGAAGCTTCTTCCTAAGTCACTCTATTCTGTTCAAAAGGGAAGAAAAATTTCCTGTGTCTTGGAGCACATGTTGGGAAGTAGGGCCCCTCATAGGTAAGATGTCTTAGGGAACCTAAAGGCAAAGACGTGTTCTACCTCGTCTATAGACCAGAATCTGATGCCTTTTTGGAAAATGGGTGAACTTTTGGAATTGTAGTGGCCACTTTGGGGAATCTGTAACTTAGGTAAGTCCACCTTGAGGGTCATCCTTAAAAGAGAAAATTCTAAACCTCTCAGAGACAATGCGATGCATTCTTTGATTAGTATGAAGAAGCTTCTAAAAGACAAAATGTATTCAAAAACAGCTCTAAAAGGAACCTTACAGCATGCAAATAAAAAATCTTTAGTAAAAACGTGTGGCCATCTGAACAGGTAAATTTAACTTAGTTCACCTGCCAGAAACACAATTTGGATGTAGTTATTCTTCTCAGTTTTGAGACATGGCTAAAATTTTTAAAACAAAAGTTAAAAGATCTCCGTATTTGTCTGTATGTTATAGACATGTGGCAGTTTTCTACCTCTGGATGATATTTCCAAAATTTATTTGTAAAGAGCTCTATTTAACTGGCTTACAGAAAATTAAGCATTTATAAAAGTCAAGTATACTCTCAGAAACAGAAAAGCTAACCCAAATAATCTAGGATAGTCTTTGATAAATAAAAGCCAGTTTAAGTTTGTTGGTTTCATAAAAGTAGGCATGTCTTAAAATTTGTCAACAAGAAAAATAATTTCAGATGATGGTTAGCTGTTTGATGTCTAATCCAAGAATAACTGTTAAAAGCCAAGTACTTTAAACAAGTGCAAATAAAAGTTTATACTAACTTAAACTAACTAATGGATATTTATTGAATATCTAAATCATTCCCTAATAAGAAAAACATTAAACACTAAGCATAAGTTTAGGTTTATTTACTTTTGGCTTTTTTTTTTTTTACAGAGTGATAAAAAAATATTTGGGCCTTTTAGTAAATATGTCTTGGGCCACATTGAAAAATTCACTAGGAGGAAGAATGTACTTCTAGAAAATTCTGAAATGTACTTATAAATTGCTACTCTACTACAGGATGCTAATACATGAAAGACAGTTTACACTTGCCTGCTTCCTGTTTATCACTGGGAAGTGAAGATTAAAGTAGTTAAAAATTTATAATCAATATGTAAAAATACAACTATTAGAAATAATAAGGGTAAAAAGAGAAGACTGTATATGAAAAGTAGGTAAGGAAAATAAAGTGTGTTATTTGGACAAGAAAAGGTATTAATGACATGGGGGTATTTTTTCATGAAAGAGAAAAGAGAGTAATTTTGTCCTACAGAAAAATGATTGTTCCAGAAGAAGAAATGAAGAAGGGCAAAAATTGAATGGATACAGAAGGCTGTAGAAGGTTTGTGGAAAAGGAATCTTGAGAAAAGAATTTTATGTGGTCAAGATAAGACTGGAATGTTTTAAGTTAAAAAATGGAAGAATTTTAATATTAAAGGTATAGTGAGGCAGAATTAGATTTTGATTTTCTGTTAAAAGGACAGGTTTTTTAGATTGTTGATGTGCTCTTAATAAGAAATTATACACGAAGTTTCTTTACCTCTAATGTAATCTCCCTAGAAAATAAGGATTCTGTGGCTTATAAAAATATTTCCAGTGCTTCACATGGTCTTTATCAAATCTTTGATTACTTAGAAAAATAAATGAGTCTTCTCTATTAAAAGAACTAAGGTTATTTTTTTTTATATAACTACTTGACTATGTGTATTTGCCTTTGAGATCTCTGTCACTTTGGCTGAATGCTTAACTAAGTAAATTGCATAATGTTTTTTCTATGTGCATATGAATCCTCCCCAGATCTTAAACTTGGCTATTTTTTTTAATATCAAATTTATTGTCAAATTGGTTTCCATACAACACCCAGTGCTCATCCCAAAAGGTGCCTCCTCAATGCCCATCACCCACTTTCCCCTCCCTCCCACCCCCATCAACCTTCAGTTTATTCTCAGTTTTTAGGAGTCTCTTATGGTTTGCCTCCCTCCCTCTCTAACTTTTTCTTTTTTCCTTCCCCTCCCCCATGGTCTTCTGTTAAGTTTCTCAGGATCCACATAAGAGTGAAAACGTATGGTATCTGTCTTTCTCTGCATGACTTATTTCACTTAGCATAACACTCTCCAGTTCCATCCACATTGCTACAAAAGGCCAGATTTCATTCTTTCTCATTGCTAAGTAGTATTCCATTGTGTATATAAACCACAACTTCTTTTTCCACTCATCAGTTGATGGACATTTAGGCTCTTTCCATAATTTGGCTATTGTTGAAAGTGCTGCTATAAACATTGGGATACAAGTGCCCCTATGCATCAGCACTCCTGTATCCCTTGGGTAAATTGCTAGCAGTGCTACTGCTGGGTCATAGGGTAGATCTATTTTTAACTTTTGGAGGAACCTTCACACTGTTTTCCAGAGCAGCTGCACCAGTTTGCATTCCCACCAACAGTGCAAAAGGGTTCCCATTTATCCATATCCTTGCCAACATGTGTTGTTTCCTGAGTTGTTAATTTTAGCCACTCTGACTTGTGTGTGGTGGTATCTCAATGTGGTTTTGATTTGTATTTCCCTGATGATGAGTGATGTTGAGTGTCTTTTCATGCGTCCGTTGGCCATCTGGATGTCTTCTTTGGAAAGGTGTCTATTTATGTCTTCTACCCATTTATTCACTGGATTATTTGTTTTTCAGGTGTTGGGCTTGGTTAAGTTCTTTATAGAGTTTGGATACTAAACCTTTAACTGATATGTCATTTGCAAATAACTTCTCCCATTCATCGGTTGCCTTTTAGTTTTGTTGATTGTTTCCTTTGCAGTACAGAAGCTTTTCATCTTCATGAGGTCCCAATAGTTCATTTTTTCTTTTAATTATCTTGCCTTTAGAGATGTGTCAAGTAAGAAATTGCTGCGGCTGAGGTCAGAGAGGTTTTTCCCTGCTTTCTCCTCTAGGGTTTTGATGGTTTCCTGTCTCATATTCAGGTCCTTTATCCGTTTTGAGTTTATTTTTGTGAATGGTATAAGAAAGTGGTCTAGTTTCATTATTCTGCATGTTGCTGTCCAGTTCTTCCAGAACCATTTGTTAAAGAGTCTGTCTTTTTTCCATTGGCTATTCTTTCCCACTTTGTCAAAGATTAGTTGGCCATACATTTGTGGGTCCAATTCTGGAGTCTCTATTCTATTCCATTGGTCTATGTGTCTGTTTTTGTGCCAATACCATGCTGTCTTGATGCTTACAGCTTTGTAATAGAGGCTAAAGTCTGGGATTGTGATGCCTCCCACTTTGGTCTTCTTCTTCAATATTACTTTAGCTATTTGGGGTCTTTTGTGGTTTCATACAAATTTTAGGATTGCTTGTTCTAGCTTCAAGAAGAATGCTGGTGCCATTTTGATTGGGATTACAATCAAAATTGTATTTGATTTGATTACAATCAAATTGATTACAATCAAAATTGGCTATTTTTAAGTCTTTTGCCACTTACAGTTACTGCTTTCTTCTCACTTCTCTGAAAATGGTTACAGTGAACTACAGACAAAAGTGCTTTGCCTTTCAAGGGATTCGGGGAAAAGACCCTGATAAGTACTCTAAAATGCAGGATTCTACTAACTTTAAGATCTTAATAGTAAACTGGGTAAAGATTTCTAGAACTTAATGGAAAACTGATTAAAAAAGTGGCTAATCCAAGACAAAGCAAGCAAAAATTAATTACATAAGACTGAATGAACTGATAATGATGATGATAGTTTTCATGAGTTCATTTAAACAATGCTAGTTGTTTAATGTTTTGCTTTCCAGATTTAAAGCACCCCGTCTTTTCCTCTCTTTCAAGCTATTTATAACGTACAGCTACTTGGTAAAGTTTATCTTTGCAACAAAGGGTGGAATATTTATCTTCTTCTCTTTACACAATTCCCCCAGAATTCATAAACTCTTTTATCAAATATTCTTATTTTTAATATTTTATTCAAATATTCTTATTTTTCATGACAACTTATGTGTTTGCCTAAGTTCAGTTCAGGACACAATTGGAGAAATCCTTGGTCTGGCTTCCTAGTCTCGAGAGGTTCTTGAAAGTCCAATCTAAGATTCCTTATGAAAAGTACCAGCAAAAAGAGCCTATATGGTTGATTACTATTCTGGCTGCACTTATGTAAATAAACAGGCCAAGTTACTGAAGTTAGACTTAATTTGAAACAAATTACTCTTACTGTGCTTATCTCTGATGGAAATGAGGATGATTATAAAGAAAAAAAAAGCATATTTCAATAATACACCTTTGTAGTTATCAGTTCCTAGTGCTGTTACAGTGTGTTTTCTTAAATGGTTTTATTCAAATTCCAGCTAGTTAACATACAATGTAATAGTAGTTTCATGTGTACAATACAGTGATTCAACACTTCCAAAGGACAACTGGTGCTCATCACAAGTACAATCCTTAATTCTCATCACCTATTTCACCTATCCCCCACCCACCTCCCCTCAGGTAACCATCAGTTTGTTCTCCTTAGTTAAGAGTCTATTCCTTGCTTTGCCTCTCTCTTTTTTCCCCTATAATCATTTGCTTTGTTTCTTAAATTCCACATATGAGTGAAATCATATGATATTTGTCTTTCTCTGACTTATTTCACTTAGCATTATACTCTTTAGCTCCATCCATGTTGTTGCAACTGGCAAGATTTCATTCTCTTTTACAGTAATTGTTTCTGAGTTTTTGTTTTCTGCCTGCAGAAACTGGATTGGATCCTGAATTCTAGTTTCTTCCAATATGTGGCTACAACTCTCCAAGCTAACATTTCCAATTTTCTCCCACTCTTATGACTTGGAATCATCATGAAACTAAAACTGCCCATTTCCCAAAGCTGTGGGAGCTAAAGCTGAAAAGCTTGATAGAAACTTTGGAGAAATCACCACAACAGCTCCTCTGTGGACAATCTTCAGGCCTGTGGCTCTATGGCCACTCAGAAAGATCACTAGAGACATTCAAGTTGCAAACCAGGAAAAGACGTCAGATTCCCACTGTTTGCTCTCACTCCATCTGAAGACGCTTGGAACCCAACATCTAGCAATCTTTTCAACTGACTGTTCTCCAAACTCCAAAACTAAATTTGCTATAATTTGCTAAAACTATTAACCTTTGTATTTCTTTGGTTTTCATAGAAATGCATCTCATTAAATTACCTGATGGTTCACACCATATAGAGGCCTCACTGAGATGGAAGCTCACCTACAACACCACCTCCTGACATAAAAGACCTGCACATTCATTTTGGCCTAAGTAATCATGAGGATATGTAATTGTTAATACATCATGTGCCTATGGAAATAACTTTTTAAGAAAGAAACCCATTTGAGTTATTTAACTGGTTATATCTTGGCTCCTGGGAATCTCTACTCTGGGAAATTTTTCAATCCTTGATTATTGTTCTCCTTACAGTCATATTAACCTCTCTAGTGCATCGTATATTGAACTCAATGCCTGTCAGCAGCCACCCACATGCCAAATGGTATCCATTAGGATAGGACAACTGAGTAAAAGAAACAACAATCCTATCAATGATAAAGATGGTTACTACATGGTCCCTCAAGTGGATGAAAACAATGAGTGTGTGATTTTTCAGCCTAACTACATCAACAGTGGTAACTGAGAATAACGCTATACCGGTTGGTCATACTCTCAGCCTGCTTAGAGAATGACCAAAAGGGAGGATTTGTTAAAACCAAAAACAGAGAACCAACCTTGAGAATTCTCTGAGCAGACAAAACTAGTCATACAAAGAAAGTTTAATTTAGCTTGTTTTCCAAGATTAACTTGACCTGGGTCATTTCTTGCTTATGCCTCTGGAAATCGTAAGCAAAACTTGTGTCCCCAAATCGATAGGAGATAACCACTGACCAATTCCCCATCATTTAAGAAAATTCTATTATAACCAAACACTATGAAGAATAAACAGTCATTGTCTTATTATATAAGCTGCTTTACAACAATATACTCCTAAGCCTCATTCCATGTTTTGGTTCAAGTGCTCCAGCAGTGCAGACTGTCTTTTTGGTGTGTGCACAATAAACTTTTACTAATTACTACTTCAGAGGTTCGTGGGTTTGACCTCTATTATTTTTGAACTTTAAACACATGAATGCAGTGTGCTCCCAGGGATGTAAAGTGTGTATTAGAACATCTTCATTACCCAAGGATTACCTTGATGCCTCCATGCCCAACTCATGAGAGGGATTGGGACCTTGTACAGAGATTTAGACCCTCTCTTTACTCATGGCTTGTACACAACCCACCATAATGTACTCAGTCTGGGAACCTACATAACAGAACCCCGCAAGAAAAAAAATAGTTTGGTTTCTTATTCAAAAACCAACAAAAAACCCTCATTTTTTAATCTAAACCATTAATAAATTTAGTCCTTCCTTAAAATTTTAAAGGATTTTGTTGATTTATAGAACAAAATTATTTCCTACTTCAATTAAGGCAAACATTGTTATTGACTAATTACATGAATTTACCTGAATAGGCAAATCAACTATTACCAATACCAAATTAATTTTAATTTCTATAGAGCATCATGCATAGAATTATAGAGGATGGGAATCACAATCAAAAACATGCTTTACTTTTCCCCCCTCTTCACAGCATATTGTGGTTTAACAATATTTTTGAAGGAAAAAAATAGTATATGGAATTTCTTTCTAGTATCAAGTGAGCTTTAAAAATAGATACAAAATAGGGGCACCTGGGTGGCTCAGTCAGTTAAGCATCCAACTCTTGATTTTATGTTTAAATAAAACATAAAAAAATATATATACAAAATATGTATGATAAATAGATGATCTTTTAAGCCTATTTTTTTAAATTTTGAGATAGAGCAGGGTGAGGGGCAGAGAGAGAGAGAGAGAGGAAGAGAGAGAATCCCAAGCAGGCACTGTGATGTCAGCATAGAGCCCAATGTGGGACCCAATCCCACGAACCACGAGACCATGACCTAAGTGGAAATCAAAAGTCGACGCTTAACCGACAGAGCCACCCAGGTGCCCCAACAGATGCTGATTTTTAGTGGGTATGTTTTAAAAGCATAGTTTTGGGGGCACTTGGGTGGCTCCATCGGTTAAGCGTCCGGCTTTGGCTCAGGTCACGATCTCACGGCCCGTGAGTTCGAGCCCCGCATCGGACTCTGTGCCGACAGCTCAGAGCCTGGAGCCTGCTTCAGATTCTGTGTCTTCCTCTCTCTCTGGCCCTCCCCCCATTCATGCTCTGTCTCTCTCTGTCTCAAAAATAAATAAATGTTTAAAAACAATTTTTTTTAAATGTTTTATTCTTGAGACAGAGAGCATGAGCAGGGGAGGAGCAGAGAGGGAGGGAGACACAGAATCTGAAG